CATATCCCTCAGCGCTATGTCAACCTGACTCTTAGACACCTCCAGGGATGGGGACTCCACCACCTCCCTGGGCAGCCCATTCCAACGCCTAACAACCCGTTCTGTAAAGAAATCCTTCCTAATACTAGTCTAAACCTTCCCTGCTGCAACTTGAGGCCATTACCTCTTGTCCTGTCGCTTATTACTTGATTAAAGAGGCTCATCCCCATCTCTCTGCAACCTCCTTTCAGGTAGTTGTAGAGGGTGATGAGGTCTCACAAGAATTCAGGCCTGACTTAGGAATTATTTAGGCTCGTGACTTACGTATTACTTAGGGCACCTCATGAAATTGATGGCAGATCTGTCATGCTTGTGATGTTGGTTGGTGCTTGAGAGATCTTAGATGTGATTCCCAGGTTTTCTGTGAACTACTACTGAATGTCTCAAAGGCAGGCTGTTCAGTTTGGCAATTGTTCACACAGGGTACCTTTACTTCGGGAACCATGTTACTGAATTCAGGGGTCAGGTCCAGTTCATACTTTATTAGGAGAGCGATTTCTACCTCTTTTGGAACTGTTGGGTAAATGAAATGTTATGATGCCAAGTGAATTTTTGATAGTAAAATCTATAATTATTTTCCAAAATTCAGTGTGGAAGTGTTCTGATCCTATAATCTTTTCTAATCTTTAACAGGACTTTACAGACTCCAACCCAAGTTCCAGTGGTTGTTTCTCCTGGAAATCAGCAGCTGCATACTGTAACACTCCAGACGGTGCCTCTTACTACAGTGATAGCCAGCACAGATCCAGCCTCAGCAACAACACCCCAAAAATTCATTTTACAAGCCATTCCTACTTCACAACCCATGACAGTCCTTAAAGAAAACGTCATGCTACAGTCTCAGAAGCCAGTCTCGCCTCCTTCCTCAATTGTGCTGAGCCCAGCTCAAGTTCAGCAGGTGCTCACCAGCAGTGTGCAGACAATTTGCAATGGAACAGTCAACATGGCTTCGTCTTCATCCTTCAGTGCCACTACCCCCGTGGTAACATTTTCGCCTAGCAGCTCACAGGTGGTAGCTCATCCATCAGGCACAGTGATCACCTCAGTTATTAAAGCACCAGAAACCAAACAGATCGGTGTACAAGGAGTGGTAAAAGAAGACGACATTGACAAATTAGATGATACTGAGCAGTCGGAGCAGAGATTCCAGCAGCAACCGTTTGTGATGGTAGTGTCCAGTTCAAATGGCTTCCCATCTAATGTTCAAGTGAAGCAAGAAAATGAGCCATTGGAACCCAGTTCATATTAATACCTTTTTAAAAAAAAAGACCCTGTGGATGATTATTTTTCATAAATGTGATGGGACCTTTTCAGTTGTGTATATATGATTTGATTCTGAAGCAAGATTTTGCAAAGCTACTTAATTTTGCAGTTAATTGTTAGAATTCATGCTTTAGAATGGATTTTGATTTTCTGTTTATTGCTAAATGTTATCATATAAATAAAATTATATATTACTCATGTTTCAAAATACAGGCATGAAGGAACATGCTTTTTCTGCTATGAAGACTTTCTCCTGAGGTTGTTGGCCAAAGTTTCAAACTTCCTTCTTATTGTACATTTTCAGCCTGTTGCTGATTTTCATTGCAGTAACATTACCATAACCTTTTCTGTTTAATCCGTACGTGTATCACTTAACTTTTGAAGCAACAGTTACTTTTAGTGGGACATTATCATTCCATGTGTATGAATTTTTATGATCAAGTATCTGTTCCATAATGGTGAATTGCAGCAGTTTAGACTTTGATAACCAGGTATCCTCTCGCATTTTTTTTTGCAGCACAAGCTCTTGTGTGCGCAAAATTGAACATACACTCCTATTGAGAGTACATGAAACATTTATTCCAGTAATGGACAATGCCATGTCTATATTTTATATAAAAACATCAGATATGTTTAATTACAGAAGCTAACAGCATCACTACAGGTGCAAAGGTTTCATGCCATTTTGCAACTATGAAGCTTAACAATCTTGCTTTCTACTTCAGATTATTTTGTAAGGGGGGAGGGAAACGAAATATACACCATTTATGCAGGTATTTGGAGATTAATACTGTTAAGTTCTTTTTTTGATTGTAAATAATGTACATTCAATGTCACAGGGAGGTTTTTTCAGCTAATTTGTTTCCATACAAATTTTTGATAGATGCAAATAAGATCATTATGTTTAGAGGTCTAATGTTATATGTATTCATATTACAGAGTGAATTTGTATTTAAAGACAAATTTTTAAATGATGGAGCCCTCTGAACTTTGGGTCCTTGTCTTTTGTATTTTTAATTGGTTTATTATGAAAATAAATCAAATGGAAAAACGTTTTTCTGTATTTACTCTGAAATGTTTTGATAGTATTAGGTTTTGATGATCATCATAAATAACCAAAATACACTGAGAAGCAGACGACGTGATTAATCAGTGTGAGTCTGTGGTGGGACATAAGCAATTCATGAATCACTTCTGAAGAGACTCGAACGTGACCAACATGCTGTGGGTATCTGTTGAAAGAGCAGTACTGTATGTTTTTGTAGCTCAAATGAAAGTTAAGCTAAATCCAAGAACTGGACTTAAATGTCACCTTTTCTGTCTGTCATGTCCTTCTTAGACAAGGGAGACAGTTGACTCAGATTTGTAAATCCCCAGCAGAGTGGACAATGGTGAGACAAGTCTCGAAGTCCAAACATTAACTTCACACAGTGTACTAACTGGATACATGATAACTGGCTAAGTGTATAATGAGTTATGGCAGGTGATATAGTATGCTTTGTGTTACTTAATAGTGAGGGAAAGGGGGAAAAAGAAAAGGGGGGAGATAAAGAGAATAGAGAAATAGAGATCATTGGTCCAGGTTCCTACACTGGTCCTGTCTGAGTTCATCAGTTCATCAGGGATGCATCTGACTTCTTCATGACTTATTTGTAATTTCTGTATTTCACTCCTCACCCCCCTTCAATTTATGCACACTTTCCTTGGGTCTGTCCCCTAGGTTGACCGACATACCTACGTATCCCATGTATGGGGAGGGGTAAGGTACTTCATGGGATAATGTAATTAGCATGATCTTGTTAATCTTCATTAGCATATTCAGGGATGTCAACTTTAATATGCATTTCACGGAAAAAAGCAAAAGTCATTCACCAGACAGATAGCCCTTGAAACTTCACAAGATGCACAAAAGCAGAACCGTCCTGTCTCTACAGGGCTCCCTCCTCCAGACAATCCTGTGCTGTCCAGGCAGCCTTATCAGCTCAAAATTCCACACTGTCCACACCGTGACTGTAGTTTCGCTACTTGAGAGTGTTTGAGGCATTGCTCAGCTCGGAGGGCCTCTGCTCCCCACCCATCCCTTATCTCTCTCACGCTTTTTCTCGCAGGCCTATTTCTCTCAGTCCCTGATTTGGGGGAGTTACAAGTTGTCTCTCACACAGACAAAACAACCCAAAACTTTGAACGTAATTCTGGGGTGCCCTTCATCGCAAAGGTCTTTCTTTGTAGCTTGTGTAACACAACCATTGGCCCAAACTACTAGTGCTGCAAAACCTCGCATATTGCAGCGTCTCAACAGAAGGTGGATGACAAATAAATATGATGCCTGGTAAAATTAGTGTAATGTAAAATTAAAGGAAATACTTTCTATGATTGAATTCATGTAGGAGTTTTAATGATTGGTCCGTAAGGTTAAATTTAAGGATAAGCATACCAGTACTAAAAAAAACTACTGGGAGCAGAACTGTAGCAGAGAGAGTTTGCTCTAGTTGAAGTAATGCCGCAAACAATGGAACAAGCAGTTCTCCGCCACAGCTGTCCTGTTTCCTAGAGTTGAAACTGCCCTGTTTAATCTACTGTTTCTCCCCTTGCAAATCCAACGTGCCTCACCCCATTTCCAGGAAGGCTGGCTGTACCCACGCTGAAGCGACTGCTGCTGGCTGGTCTGGCAGCGCTCCCCGCAGCTGGGGAAGTGCTGGCAGTACTGCTAGGAACGAAGCCTTGCAGAAGGCTCTCTGAGACGGTTCTTATCCTGAGGGCTATTCCGGATTGATGAAGGCACTGGAGAGGGAGGCTAGTGTTTTTTAATCAAGACTATAAAAGAGGGGCTTCTTCCGGTAGTGTAAGTATTTCGTAATACTAGGAAATCTGAAGCGGTAACACTGGACTGAGACAGATATTAATGTTTTTAAACATGGGGAAGTTGGTTTGCCTTTACTGGAAACATGGGGGGGGAAAAAAATCAAGCTGTAAGGTTCTAACTTTGACAGCAAAACATGTTGCCATAGATGCAACTATTACAAAGGGAAGAGGATTTGTCAGTATAGTTTACGTGAGTTGGAGAAGTGGCAGAAATCTCCAGCAGGCAGTAACGTGTCTCGAACAGCACTCTGTTGTGTGACCAACAGTAAACGAAAATCACTCCCTTTCCAAGTCCCTTGTGCTCCAGTCTACCTGCCAGGTGCATATCTGTACTTCTAACCCTCCCTAGTACGACAAAGAAAGGGAGAATGTAGAGTAAATCTTAAAACGGGGGCTCGCATTTGGAGTTTGAGCAACTCCTCCCCTCTCGCAGCTGCCTTGGTGCCTGTGGTAGCAGCCGAACAAAACACACGAACCCCAGCTGCTGCTGACTCAGAAAGAAAAAAATGAGGCCGCAGTTCTTTTCTGCACGCGTGTGAAAGTGTGGAGAAAATGGCACTTTTTCTTGTGAAGCGTTTCGCAGAAGGGAATCCGCGGAGGAGTAAGAGAGAGGCCTCACGCTGCCAGCGCTGCCTCAGCGCAGCTGCCAGGCGGCCGGGGTGCTCGCTGAGGCACAGCGACAGCGCCGGGTGCCGGCCCCCGCCAGGCTGGGGCGAGAGGAGGCGCCCGAGCTTCAGAGGAGCCGCTGCCTCCCGGGCGGGCCGCCCC